TGAATGGGAAGAGTCGAGGCTGGAGCGGTTGCATATAGCGCTGCGTCCGTGGCATCATGTCAGGATCGACGAGCGCACCCTTCTCGCTTCCTCGCTCTCTTCGCCATGTTTCACCCTCCCCCTTCGCCACCGCGTCTCCCCTTCCCCGTCCATCTCTCTGCTCCCCCCCGTGCCCCTTCCATCACTCAGTATGAAGATAGTTACTGCTGTCCTTTATCCCCTGATACTGTCCAGTGCCGAGTCCGCCTCTCTTGCGGAATGTCTTTTGCCGCACAGAATTTCAAACATGGTCGTTATATGTTATGTTCGATCGGACCGTCTTCGGCATTTTCTTAACCATTCTGTGGTATCGGGTCTTCGTTGTAAATACGCAGCGCCACGCGTCTCCCATTTCGCCTTCCCTCCCTCCCCATCCCCGCAGCTGCTTACCTCTCACACGTTCCGCGGTTCCATGGGAAGCTCCGCCTACTGTTTCAGTGGACGCATTCGCGTGGCGTCTTGTAGCCTATCTCGGCATCCCCCTCACACGCGTTTCGTGCCTTTTGGGGAGCTTCACTTACGATTTCACTCGGCGCGAACGTATGGCGTCCCGAGACACATCCGACCGCGTGGCGTCCTCGAGCTCATTTTGGCGCACTCCTTGACACGGTTTTCCCCTCCATACACAGCTCCGCTTCCGGGTTCCAGGAATGCGCGACCCCATGGCGTCCCAAAATTGGTTTGGGCATACGTTTCGTGCCCCTTTGGGGGCTCTTCTTCCGCCCATTCCGGCAAACCTCTTACGCGCTTCGTGCCCCTTGCAGTGGAGACCCATGCCAAGCAACGCCCTGCTTGCCCCCAGGATGCCCTGGGTGCCTTGGGCTTCCATTGCCTTGCTGTGGAGAGCGTGACGTTCCCCCCAAAACATGAGTGGACGCCCGGGGGTCTCAGGGTTGGGTTTCTCGTGGAAGGCTTCTTGTGGTCGAGCCCTTATTGTTAAGTCGGGCCTGTCCCTCTACAGGGGGAATATTCCAAAATAGTCAAAAAATAGCCTGGGGACGATTTTTGTTTTACAATTTTTGGTCATTTGCGACTATTTTTTGGGTATTCTTCATTTTTCGTCCAAAATCCCCCTGCAGGGGGACATGCCCGACCTAACCTTACTGTATGGGACCTCCGCATACGGCCTCCGTGGGCGCGACCGCGCGGCGTCCCCGAGCCTCTTCCGGCGCGCCCCGTGCAGGCTTTTCGTGCCCCCCCCGGGCAGCCCCCTTTTGCCACGCCCCTCGCATGGAGGCCAGGGAAGGCGTGGCGGGGGCCGGCCCGCCCACCGTGTCCAGCCCTGGCCAGTTTCCCGTTCTGTTTCCAGCCCCGGCGACCGCGTCCCTGCTGTTTCGGGCTCGCTGCGCCCACATTGCCAGCTTCGTCCAGCCCTGGCCACTTCCACGTTCCCTGACGTTCCAACTTCCACTTTTTCCAGCTTCCCTGTAGTCCTTAGTCACGGCGATTCTACTTCCGAGCTGATTTTCAGGTGTGCTTTTCAACGCAAGCGTTATTACCGAATATAGCGTCTTTTCTAGAGGGTTCTGATAGAGATTGAAGATTCCGTCCGCCAGAGCCTCCACGGGGGGCGAGGGGGAGGCGTCTCCCAGGCCCTGCGGCCGTCCGAAACGGTCTGGAATCGACCCACCATAGCGTTCTGGCTCGACTTGGTCCAGACATGAAACTCACTGTGGCGTCCCGGCTTGGTCCAGAGAAGAGGCACTATTGTGTCCTGGCTCGATTTCAGCCCTCCCAGATCCAGAAATGAGACTTCTTATGGTACTCTGGTTCGATTTCCACGCCAGAATTTCCAGGCGGGGAAGCAGGGGAAGGCGTCCGGCGACGGGGTCCGTTGCAATGCGTTGCACAAGGCGTTGCCGGGGCGGGCTGAAACCACGTGCTTCCACATGTCCAGTCCACCCAGGGAGATATCTAAAATTGTGGTCCCGTGCTGGAGCCACATGTTTGACATGTCCACGCCGCCCAGAGGGGTGATCTAACACGGTTGTCCCGAGCTGGAACCATGTGCCTCCAGGCCACACAGGGGGTGTATCTAGCAGGGTTGTCCGAGCTGGAACTGCATGTTTTTGATTGATACCGTTTCGCTAGAGTGTTCTACAATAATCTCCACAAGGGGTGCTAATGGCGGCGGTCCGGAAACGACTCATTATGAAATGTTGGCTCGATTTGGCCAAGAAGAGAAACTCACCATGGTGTTCTAGATCGATTTGGAACAGAAATGATGTGCACTATCATTTTCTGGCTCGCTTGCAGCCCTCGCAGATCCAGAATTGAGACTCACTATTGTGTTCTGACTCGATTTCCTTTCGCCAGAATCTCCACAGGGGAGGTGGGTGGGGGCATCTCACCGATCTGGCGGCCGTCTGGAATCGACTCACTACTGTGTTCTGGCTCGGGTTCAGCCCTCGCAGATCCAGAAATGAGACTGTGGTGTTCTAATCGATTTGGTCCAGGGATGGAGCCCACGATTGCGTTCTGGCTCGATTTCAGCCTTCCAAGTCCAGAAATGAGACTCAGTATTGTGTTCTGGCTCGATTTCCTTTGGCCCGAATCTCAACAGGGGTGATGATGCGACGCGCGGCTTCGCAAGGTGCGTGTTCGATGAGGTATGGGGACTGGGGGTCTGGCGGCTGGCGCACTGGATCACACGAGGATCCACCACCCACGCCACCGCCAGGCCTAGTCCCCGAAAAGAAAAAGGTCGGGGGAGGCAGGGAGGGGGGGGCGTCTCACCGACCCGGCGGCTGTCCAGAATCGACTCGCTATCTCGTTTTGGCTCGATTTCAGCCCTCGCAGATCCAGAAATGAGACTCCGTGTGGTGTTCTGGTTCGAATTTGTCCACAGATGCAGTTCACTATAGTGTTCTGGCTGGATTTCAGCCCTCCCATATCCAGAAATGATACTCTCTAGTGTGTCCGGGCTCGATTTCACGTCAAATATTCCTTTCAGCAGGAACCCCACAAAGAGGGCCGAGCGAAAAGGTTCGATCGTAGTTGTCGGAGATCCAGACATGAGCTTCACATTGGTTTTCTGGGTCGATTTGGTTCAGAAGTGGGGTTCAGTATGGCGTTATGGCTTGATTTCAGCCCTCCCAGATCCAGACATTAGATTCACTATGGTGTCACGGCTCGATTTGGCCCAGAAATGGAACTCATTGTGGCATATTGGCCCGATTCCAGTTCAAAGATAGTTTTTACGTAAATCTCCACGGAGAGGGGCCGTGTGTTCTTGATCCTTTTCAGCCTTCGCAGATCCAGAAATGAGACTCATTATTATGTTCTGGCTCGAGTTTAGCGTCGCTGGTCCAGAAGTTGCGGCAGGGGCATCGGATTCTCACCATTCCAGATGTCCTGAGTCCAGGAAGTGCGGCAGGGCCGTCGGCTTCTCACCACTCCAGCTGCCAGGAGTGGGGTCGCTCGGTCCCTATATGCTGTTCCAAGCGCGCTCGTGCTATCATGTCGACATTACGAATGTCGCCTTCATCAGCAAATTCAGCTCCGTAATCGCATCGGCAACATGATGAGGTCGTTTCCGCAAACCGATGTTTCAGGCGCCCACCCGCCTCCACACCTTAGTTTCTACTAGGGTGCCTTGCTGGAGCAATTACCCTCCTCAGACCGCCTGGCGGGGTTTGAGGCAGGGAAGGGCTGCTAGTGTTGCCGCCGCTGTTGCTGCGGAGGCCTCTGATGCTCTGCCCGCCCCCCATTTCTTCCACCACCCCCCTCTGCTGTCCGCCTTCCCCCTTCCCCTTCCAAGCCTTCCCTGCCACTCCAGCCCCAGCAAGGCACCAGCGTCAGCCCGAACACCAGCACCAACCAGAGCACCAGCACCAGCACCAGCAGCAACACCAGCACCAGCACTAGCACCAACCTGGGTCGAATTACAACACAAATTCCTACAGGGGCCCTATTATTCAGTGGCCTTCGGCCCATCCCACTACGGCGCTTGGATTGTAGGGCAGAGGCCTCTCGGATGCTTCTAAAGATCTTCTGGGGAACTTTTCGGATGTCTCTTGGAGGCGGTTTTGGGTGAGGTGTCTTGGGGGCCTCTTGGGGCCTTTTGGGGCCTAATTTGGGCCTCTCGGGGCGTCTTGGGCGCATCTCGGGGACTTCTGGGGGGCTCTTGGGGTCATCTTGGGGCGGATGGCCCAAACTGTCAGTTCGTGCTCCCCATCCCGGGCCCCTCTTGGGACCATTTTGGGGGGATGTTGGGCCCCTCTTGGGGGCTCTTGGGCCGTTGGGGGGCGATCTTGGGCGCCTCTTGGGCCGTCTTGGACGCCCTGAAGACCGAAGAGGCGGTAACGCAACAACCATACAACAACTGCTAAATGTTGACATTTGCGGCACGTTGAGCCGCCGTCCACGGCTTCCAAGACGGCCCCAGAGGCGCCCAGGAGGGCTCCGGGACGGCCCCCCGGGGCCATCTGCAACCGTGTTGGACGTGCGTGTCCCGAACGGCCTCTTGACAAGTCACGCGGGGACCCCCCCGGGAGCGCGCGAGAGCGCCCAGGAGCGCCCGGGAACACCCAGAGCTTCGGGCTGCGGGCCACTTAAAGAGCAGATGCAGAAATCAACACAGAGAACTCGACGGGATTCGAGGACACTGCATTTCGTGCCTCAGGGCACGGTGGCGGACACGCGTATATATATATATATATATATATATATATACATGTGTGTATATATATATGTCTGTCTGTCTTCCTGTCTGTTTGTCTGTCTGTCTTTATGTGTATGCATGCATGTGTGTATGTATGTATGTATGTGTGTATGTATGCATGTATGCATGTATGTATGCATGCTTGTATACGTGCGTATATGCATGCATGCATGCATGCATGTATGTATGTACGTATGTACGCATGTCTATCAGTACGTGTGTATGTGTATATGTGCGTGTGTGTATGTGCGTATGTGTGTATGTATGTTTGAACGGATGGATGGATGGATGGATGGATGGACGGACGGATGGATGCATATATGTATGCATGTATGTATGTATGTTTGTATGAATGCCTGCATGTGTATATGTATGTGCCTCTCTATGTATGCATGCATGCATGAATGCATGCATGCATGTATGTATGTATGTATGTAGGTAGGTAGATCGACAGGTATGTATGTATGTATGTATGTATGTATGCATGCAGCATGCATGCATGCCTGCATGTATGCATGCATGTTGGTATATGTATGTATGTATGTATGTACGTACGTACGTACGTACGTACGTACGTACGGATGTATGTATGTGTGTGTGTGTGTATGTATGTATGTATGTATGTATGTATGTATGTATGTATGTGTGTGTGTATGTATGTATGTATGTATGCATGTATGTATGTATGTATGTATGTATGTATGTATGTATGTATGTCTGGATGTCTGGATGTCTGGATGGATGGATGGATGGATGGATGGATGGATGGACGGATGGATGGACGGACGGATGGATGGATGGATGGATGTGAGTATGCATGCACGTGCATCGAAGACGCTTGCGGCGAATCACCGCCGCCCCTTGCCTTTGAAGATACGCCTATGAGGCCGAGCGTTTGGGTAAAGTTTGGCCACGCTATGGACCATGCGTTCCCCCAGCCGTTGTAGAAGCCTTTCTTGGAATGCATGAGGGAGGAAGATGCGGAGGAGGGGAGGGAGGCAACAGGAGGATGAGGAGAAGGATGAGGAGACCTTTTGGGAGTTTCTTGGTTCATTCTGGGACCGACTAGCCTCCTGGTGGCTTCTTGGAGGCCTCCTTGAGCTTCCTTGGGCCTCTTCGGTGGCCTGTGGGGGCTTCTTGGAGGCCTCTTTAACCGCCTTACGGCGTTCCTGGCCCGTGTGTCGTCGTGGGAAGCCGTCTTGGGAGCCTCTCTAGGCCGTCTTGGGGCCCTCTTGGGGCGCTTCAGGGTGGTCTTGGATGCCGTCTTGGGCGTCTTGAAACCCACTGGCCGTCTCGGGGCCGTCTTTGGAGCCTCTTGGGCCGTCCTGGAGCCGTCTTCGAAGCCCCTTACGCGATATTGGGGCAATTTTTAGGGCGTCGTAGGCCGTCGGAAGGCCGTTTTGAAGCAAACGCCAACATCCCTCAAACACTTCTGGCAAATCAATGATTTCGGCCTTGCGGGCCTTCCTGGAGGGCCCTTGGGCTGTCGTGCGGGCCTTTGGGGCGCTTCCTGGGCCGTCTTGGGCTCTCTTGGCGGTCTTGGAGGCATCTTGGAACCATCTTGGAGGCCATCTTGGGGCCGCCTTGGGCACTCTTGGGGCCCTCTTGCCCGTCTTGGTGGCATCTTGGATGCCACTTTGGGTCCGTCCTGGCCGTCTTGGAAGTGATTTGGGCCATGGGCAGTGACTTCTCCCAGGCTTTCCGGGTGACCCGCGGGCAGGGTCGGCGCCAATCAACAGCCTACCAGACAGTCGGCACGCCGTGCACGCCTGCGGCAGGCCACGGGGAGCGGCGGACGACGAGAGCGCGCGTAGCGTGGCGATCCGCCCGTCGGGGGGAAACAGCAATGGGGGAGCGTGAGGGTGTTGACCTCGGCGGCCCCGGATCTAATGGCACCATTGTCGGTCATGCTCGGCCCTGGACGGCCCAAGTCAGCCCCAAGAGCGCCTCAGAGGGCCCCAAGACGGCTCAGAGCAGCCCCCAAAGCGCCCAAGCTACCTCCACGACGGCCTCAGGAGGCACAAGAGGCCCCAAAGAAGGCCCGAAAGCGCTCAAAGAGGGCCCAAGATGGCATCAAGACGGCCGAGGCGGCTTTCAACACGCTCCACGAGGCCTCCAGGATCGTCCCAAGACGGCAAAAGAGGCCCCAAGACGGCCCCAACACGGCCCACGAGGGCTCCAAGACAGCCCAAGAGGGCCCCAAGACGGCCCAGGAGATGCCCCTGAGGGCCCCAAGAAGTTCTCCAGAGAGCCCGGAGAGGGCCACAGGAGGTCCCCACGAGGGCTCCAGAGGGCCCCGAGAGGGCCCCAAGACGGCCCAAGCCCCCCCAAGACAGCCCAAGAGGGCCCCAGGACGACCCAACCCAAGACAGCCCCAAGGAGCCCCCAAACGGCTTGGAGAGGTCACATGCGCTGATTTTCGCAAGGTTGGTTGTTAGTTGTTTGTGTGACGTAGCAAGATCTTAACACCAATAGGGCTCCAAGACACTGCGCAAGCGATCTCGCGCCCTCGCAGGGTACGAGCGCTTTCCGTCCCCGTGCCGAGCAGGTCGAATAGCTTTTTGCCCATCCCGCCACCGTGCTTGGATTGTGGGTCAGTGTCCTCGGGGATGCGTCTTAGTGTCTCGTCGGTGCGCTCTCGGGGGCCTCCTAGGGGACAGTTTGGGGGCCTCTTGCGGCCTCTTGGGGGCCGCTTGAGGCCTCCTGTCGGCCTCTTGGGGAGAAGGGCTCGAACTGTCCGCTCGGGCCCCCCGTGGAGGCCTTCGCTTGGAGCCGCCTCTGATCGCCCCCGAGCGTTCGCTTCTGAGGAGAAGGTTCTGAGAGGCCGCTTCGCCCCCCGTTCGGGAACTCGCGGATTCAGTGCTTCTGGTAAGCCTTGCGGCTCGCACGCTTTCCGCGGCTCTGGGGGGGGGGGGCGTTGCGGTCGCCTTTCGATGACAGTGGTGAGCCATACCAAGAAATGCCTGCTTGCCTCCAGGTTTCTTGGGCTTCGATGGTTCTGCCGTGGAGAGCGTGCCGCTTCCACACCAGAAATCACAATGCAAGTCATCGTGTCTCAGGGTTGGGCTTCTCGTGGAAGGCTCCTCGTGGTCGATCTCCTACTGGAATTAAGTCGGGCCTGTCCCTCTACAGGGGGAATAGTCACAAATAGTGAAACATAGCCTGGGGACTATCTTTTGAGTATTTGTGGGCATCTTTTTTGAGTATTTTTTGAATCCTTTAACTTTTCGTCCAAAATCCCCCTGCAGCGGGACAGGCCCGATCTAATACTGGAAGCCTCTCGGCTATCACGTTCTCCGCGGCCCTGGGGGGGCACCCTCCACGAACCGACCTCAATCTCGCGCGCGCATCGGTCCGACCGCGAGGAGGAGGAGGAGGAGGAGGAGGAGCGAGGAGGAGCGAGGAGGAGGAGGAGGAGGAGGAGGAGGAGGAGGAGGAGGAGGAGGAGCCAGGAGGAGCGAGGAGGAGCGAGGCGGCTCTGGGGGGGAGGGGGCGCCGCGGGCGCCTTCCGGTCGCGCTGCCGCCCTGCGCCGCCCGAGGCTCGCGGGCGGGGCAGCGAAAACGACGGCGCGCGTCCCCTGCGGGATTTCAACCGCCCCGCTCGCCCCCAAAAGGATGCTTGAGATTCTTGCCTTTTTTTGGGGGGGGGGTTCTTTAATGATACGTTGGCACCAGTCAAGGACTGCTTCAGGGTGGACGCTCAACTGGTCTCGGGGTGCGACAGAACAAAAAAACACGCAAAAAACAGCCCGCCCTTCAGTATGGTTTAGCCGATCCCTGTCCCCATCCACATCCACACCTCGAGCCCTGCCGTCTCACTGCCCCAGTTGGGGACATCTATACCCCTCGAAGGCCGAGGAGAGCAGCCTGTATCCCCATCTAGGGGGAGAAATCGGCTAGTGGGGCCCAGCCCACGCTGGTGGGGATGGGGATCAGTTAAACGATACTCAGCCCTCCCTGGGATGCCCGGGCCGCAAGTCATGGGAGCCTGGTATGCCCTCTCAATTCTGTCTGTAGCGTCGCCCAGCGTCGAGTAGCGTCTGGGAGTCGACGAGCCAGCGCCGATTTAGCGTCGGCTAGCGTCGATCAGCGTCGATTTAGCGTCGGTTAGCGTCGATTCAGCGGCGACTCACGTTGATTCGCAAGTGTCGACAAGATGGTATGGGAGGCTCCCATAAGTTGCCACCGAACTGGGATGTCCTGTGCGCAAGCCGGCCGGGTCTCGAGCCTCCTTCGGGGGTTCTCGAGCTCCCCGGGTCTGGCCGCGCCGAGCGCGTTTGACCAAAAGGTGCGTGCGGGCGCACCGGGCTATCCCAGAGGGAGGCGGCCCCGGATGAGCCTTCCGCCGTTCTGCGGCCCTCCTGGAGGCCTCTTGGGCCGTCTTAGGGCGAGCTTGGGGGCCTCCTCCTGGGCCATCTTGGCGCGTCGGGAAGCCGAAGAGGCGAGAACGCCCAAATCCGCCAAAACGTATTGGAAGATCACACAGGTTTGCCTCCTGGGGTCCTGGCAGGCCTCTTCGGGCGCCTCGGGAGCATCTCAGGCCGTCTTGCTGCCATCTTGGGCGTCTTGGAGCGATCTTTCGGCGACGCGGGGCCCTGTTCGACCGTCTCGGGGACCTCTTGCGGCCTCTTGGCCCCTCTGGAGGCCCTCTTGGGGCCGAACAAGTCGAGCGAGAAGCCGCGAGTCGCCCCAGGGGCTACGCGGCGCGCCCTGGCCGATCTGGCAATTGCAAAGGACCTGAGGACACTTTGAAATTGGCAGTTATTGCGTTCGAGATATTGGGAACATGCTGCACAGTAGCGGGGCGGAGCGGGGCATGCGAAGTAGCTTCTGAACGTTTGTTGCACAGGTTGTTCCTTCAATGGTGAAACTTGTCTTTCCGTTATCCCAGTCATGGGCGGGAGCGAGGGAGTGGGGTCATGCGAGGTAGCTCCTAAACGTTTTGTTGCAACGTTGTTCTTCGATTCTGTATATACATACATGTATATATATTTATATATATAGATGCATACCCGTCTTCATCTATCGTAGTGTCAGTTTGATCTCAACGCAGTTGACGTCCCAGCTAGAGTTGTGCCGCAGCAGTGTTTTGGGGCAGCTGCTTTGGTCTTGGCAGCACAGCGCTGCATCGTACAGCATCGGCGCTTGCCCCTCCCAACTTGGACTGCGGATCTGTTTCGCGATCTCTTTTCGTGTGGTTCGTGATGCGAACTGCACGCGCGCGAGCTAGCAGGGTCATCGTCGAACCATGCAGACGTTGCTTTTACAGCAAGGGGCTCTTGGATATCACAGTCCAAACGACGGACGGCGCCCCCGCCCTCGCCATTTCACCCCTCGGTGGCCCGCCAGCGGCCCAACCGCTGGCTTCTGTCCTCCTCTGGACAACACACACACACAACTTCTGCGGCACTTGTGCACCCGGGCCCCTCCTCCCCGCGACGACGAGACACGACCACCACCACAGCCCGTGCCACGGCGGTGACGGGCTGCGACGAGAGTGCCCTCTGCCCCCGCTCCGCCCCCCTTGCTCCTCGCAGCCGGCTCGCCCCCGAGCGTGGTGCAGGACCCCCGCCGCTCCGGCCGGGGGCCCGCGCCCGGGGCGGCGCCGGCGGGGGCTGCCCGCGCCCCGCGCCCGCTCTTTGCGGCGGGCGCCGAGCGCGGCGGCGCCGCCCTGGAGCCCATCCGCCGGAGGCGCTGGCGTAGCCCCTGCGCACAGACGTCCGGCGGCTCGAAGGAATCGAGGCGGTGGTTTTTGTCCCCCACGGCTGGGCCTCTCGAGGCCACTCCCTCGCCGAGGGGAAGCGGGGGCACGGCTCAGTGCGGAGAGCCGGACTCAGCGAAGAAGTCGAGAGGTCCAAGGGTGCACGTCTCGGGACATCGAGTCGCCAGGTGTTTGGGCCCCTCATTCGCTCTCCTCCTCTCTTCCTCCTTGTCGGTGTTTCTCTTTCGCCCTGCGTTCCTCCTTCACTGCTACCTCGGAATACACTGTGTCTTCCTGCTGTCTATTATCACTGTTCCCCTCATGCGACTTCAAAAACGACGATTGCCATGGTTGTTCTGATATTGCTGAGGCATACGATTGCACCACCACTACTACCAGCGAAGGCGCCTACCGCGAACACCGTCGCCCCCTGCAATCTGGAAAGACGTATGTGGCCAAACACTGGGCCAACAGTTTGGCAAGCGTATTGGGTTGTGTGTTCCTGAAGCCAGTGTGGAAACTCTTGGGGGAACATTTGGGGGAGGAAGAAAAGAGGAGCGGGGGAGGAGAAGCAGGAGGATGGAGGAGGAGGAGGAGGAGGAGGAGGAGGAGGAGACCAGTTGGGGCCTCTTGAGGGGCCCTCAGACAGCGGCCTCATTGAGCATGTTTGGGGTACCCATGGATGCTTATGAGGGACCGCTTAGTCTTCATGTGCCGTCTTGAGGGCCTCAAGGGCCTTCTTAGGGGCTCTCTTGGGACGCCTTCGGTCCGTCCTTGAGCACTCAGAGAGCCGTCTTGGGGGCCTCTTGGCAGTCTGGGGGCCTTCTTGGCCCGTCTCGCCGAGACTAGCACCGTGACGGTCCCGGGGCCCACCTCGGGCTGTCGGAAGCACGAGACGTCGAGAACGCGACAATCTGGGACAACAACAAGTCTCCTGCCGAAGTACCCAGACATACAGTCAACGCGCCTAGTAAGGTCGCGCGCCGTCATCTACGGTGCCCTTGTGTCCTTGCCTCTGCGGCCCGTCCTTTGCTGTTTTCACTGGTCGCCCGCAGCCCCAACAAAAACAAGTTCGGCCTCCAAGCGTCTTGCGTCCTTACCACCCGTCCTTATTACAAGTTTTGATCGTATGCAGTTGTGAGTATCGCGGTGAATATCTTTATGGGGCCACGAAGCGTGTAAAGGGTATTCCGAAAGAAGGCGGGGCGGCCATTCGGGCGCTGCCCTTGGGACCGTGGGTATACCCCCCCGCATGTGAAGGTGTGTGTCGAAATGGGCGGGGGAGACGCCTTCGGACGTCGCCATTGGGGCCTCTGGTGGAGATCCTCATGGGGCCACGAAGCGTGTGTAGGTGTGTGTGTGTGTATGTGTGCGTGTCGGAATGGGCGGGGGGGGACACCTTCGAACGTCGCCATTTGGTCCTTCGGTGAAGCTCCATATGGGGCCACGAATCGCGTGAGAGGTGTGTCGACATGGGTGAGGGGACGCATGTGAACTTCGCCACTGTGGCCTTCGGTGGATATCCTTGCGAGGTCACGAAGCGTGTAAAAGGTTTGATAACATGGCGGGGCGGGGGGCCGCATACGAACGTCTCCATTGGGGCCTCTGCAGGAGCTCCCTCCCTACGGGACCACGAAGTGTTGCACTGCATGAGGCGGACGCATGCGAACGTCGCCATTGGGGCCTTCGGTTGAGATCCCTAGGGGGGCCACGGAACCTTGTATTGTGCGGGGCAGCGTTGCATGGAAGTGGGTGGACGCATGCGAATGCCGCCATTGGGGCCTTCGGTGGATCTCCCTATTTGGCCACGAAGCGCTGTACTGGGCGGTGTGGACGCATGCGAACGTCGCCAATTTGGCCTTCGGTGGAATTCCCCACGGGCCCACGAACCACAGTTCTCGGTGGGGCGGACGCATGCGAACGTCGCCGCGGGGGCGTTCTGTGGAGCCCCCTTGTGGGGCCACGCAACGCTGTATTGCGTGGGGCGGACGCGTGCAAACGTCGCCACTGGGGCCTTCGGTGAAGCTCCCTAGGGGGCAACGAAACGCTGTATTGAGTGGGGCGGTCGCATTCGAACGTCGCCACTGTGGCCTTCGGTGGAGCTCCTTATGGGCCCACGAAACGCTGCGTTGGGTGGGGCGCACGCATGCGAACTTTGCCACGGGGGCCTTCGGTGGATCTCAAAAGGGGGCGACGAAGCGTTGTACTGGGCGGGGCGGACGCATGCGAATGTTGGCACTGGGGCTTGCGGTGGAGCTCCTTGTGAGTCCACGAAGCGCTGTATTGGGCGGGACGGGCGCATGCGAACGTCGCCACTGGGGCCGTCGGTAAAGCCCCCGATGGGGTCATGCAGCGCTGTATTGGGTGGGGCGGACGCATGCGAACGCGGGGGGGGTACGCATGCGAACGTCGACATTGGGAACGTCGCTGGAGCTCCCTATGAGGCCACGAAGCTCGTTATGAGACCACAAAACCTTGTATTGGGTGGGGCGGCCCCGTGTGAAGGTCGCCAGTGTGACCTTCGGTGGAGCTCCTTATAGGGGCCACGAAGCGCTGCACTGTGTGGGGCGCGAGCATGCGAACGTCGCCCCTGGGCGCTTTATTGGGTGGGGCGGACCCATGCGAACGTCGCCACTTGGCTTTCGGTAGAGCCCACTATGGGCCCACGAAGCGCTGTAATGGGTGGGGCGGACGCGTGCGAGCAACACCACGGAGGCCTTCGGTGGAACTCCATATGAGCCCACGAAACGCCGTACTGGGTGGGGCGGCATCGTGCGAACGTCGCCACTGGGGCCTTCGGCAGAATTCTCTAGGGGGCCACGGAACGTTGTACTGGGTGGGGCGGACGCATGCGAACGTCGACACGTGGGCTTTCGGTGGATCTCATTAGAGGGCGACGAAGCGTTGTACTGGGCGGGGCGGACGCATGCGAATGTCAGCTGGGGCTTGCGGTGGAGCTCCTTGTGAGTCCACGAAGCGCTGTATTGGGCGGGGCAGGCGCATGCGAACGTCGCCACTGGGGCCGTCGGTAAAGCTTCATATGGGGCCACGTAGCGATGAACTGGGTGGGGCGGACGCGTGCAAACGACGCCATTGGGGCCTTCGGTGGAGTTCCCTATTGGCCCACGAAGCGCCGGACTGGGCGGAGCGGGCGCAAGCGAACGTCCCCATGGGGGCATTCGGTGAACTTCCGTATGGGGCCACGAAACGCTGTACTGGGTGGGCGGGCGCATGCGAACGTCGCCATTGTGGCCTTCGGTGGGGTTCCTTACGCGGCCACGAAGCGTTGGACTGGGCGTGGCATGGGCCATGGGGCCTTCGGTGGAGCTCCTTACGGGGCCACGAAGCGTGTGAGAGGTGTGCCGAATTGGTGAACATGACAGGCACGCAGGGAACGAGGGAGGAGGAGGAGGGGAAGGACGAGGAGGAGAAGGACGAGGGGGAAGAGTAGGACAAGGAAAACAGAGGGGGGGGGAGGGCGCATGGCGCTGTCTCTTCGAAACTAGGACCCAACACAACAGGACGGTTAGGAATGGGCGGCGCAGAAACAGGGGTGCGTCTTCACCGATACTGGCGCGTAAGTTGCCTGCACAAAGAAGTGCGTCAACGCCCTCGTTTCCAATATAGCATGCCGCGCTGGCGGCCCGCATGAGCCAACGCGTAAAATCGCTATGCCATGTCTCGTAAGAATCGTTTGGTTTGGCCGCTCCAATGGAGGACGCTGCTTTTGACTTCCTTGGTACCTGGAGGGCTTCTTGGAGCCTTCTCGGGCAGTGCTGGCGGCGTCTTGGGCCACCCAAAATGGCCCAAGGCGTGCCGAGATGACAAAGCGAAGCCTCGGCCGATGCACCCAGCGCTCGAGGCGCCCACGAGGCGCCCACGGGCGCCCAGCAACCAGGCACCAGCAGAAACCTTGGCCGGCCCATCCGTGTTCCCGTGACTGGGTCAGCGAAGCAAGAACCCGTCAGTGCAAGCACTGCTAGGGGACTGCTGTGGGTTGGCTCTTTGGGCCAGCCCAGTGGAGGCCGTCCAAAACCGTGTGATCCCTCTTGCCTTTCGTTCCTTCCTGCTGCTCGCCTTACCTCCTCCTGCCGGGCACTTCGCCCATTTCGGAGCACCCCTCGCACGTTTCGTGACGTGGCCCCAAAGGAAGTTCCACTGGGGACCATTGCGACCACGTTCGCATGAGAGGTCTCCGCTAGTTTCGGCGCAAACCTCACACGCTTCGTGGTCTCAGAGGGAGCTCCACAGAAGACCCAGTGGCCACGTTCGCATGCAGGGTTCCTGCCCACTTCGGCACACCTCTCACACGCTTCGTGGGCCCATAGGGAGCTCCACCGAAGGCCCCAAGTGAAAAGGGTCGTAGGGGGGGGTCTCCGCCCATGTCAGCACACCCCTCTCACGTTTCGTGGCCACATCGGGAGTTCCACCCAAGGCCCCAGTGGCCGCGTTCGTTTGGGGGTCTCCGCGCCCTGCCTCTCCCCTTTCGGCTCCACCTGCCTGTCGTCCTCTTCCCGTTGGGCCTCCGCATGGATAAATAGTCGTTGCCACTCACGGGCTACGATATACCGTCTCAGCTCCCCCCGCGGCCATCTGC